GTGAAGATTGCAGTCCTGGGATACCCACAAGGATGAATGAGGCAGGGTTTCCATTGTGTGGTTGTAGGCTGGACCCAGGATCACAGATGAGACTTCTTGCCTATTATATAAATAATTTAGGAGAAGAATGCAGTCCATCAGGATTTATTCCCATATGTGATGATAGGAAAGCAGAGGGATATCTCAGCTTGGTGGTATTCTTAGGATCAGAAAAGGGACATCTAATAAGGTTATCCTGCTCTACCTTTCATCCCTTTCAGTATTCTTTGCCTTAAAACTTACTGTTCATTGAAGAATTAGCTCAAGGGTTACCTCCATTAGGAAGTCTGTTTTCTTCCTCCCCTATTCCATGTGCAGGCTGTTAGTTACCTTTCTCTGAGCTTTAATGCAATCTGCCATAGTGACCTCCAATGGACTAAATTGACAATTCTAAAACTCTACCTATGACTTTATGGTATACACTTAAGTGCATGTATATTATTCATGGCCTTATAGCAAAGATATGATTCATAACTGTGGTCTTAAGTCTCCTAAAAGATACTATGCCTCAAGATTAGCCTATTTTATCACTTCCTGTGCCTCTCCTAAAAAAATTTAAAAAGGCTTCCATTATGAGAAGGTTCCATATGCCTACACTTAGATACTGTCTCTAGTGACCCATTTTTAACTTCTTATTAGAAATGTGGCTCCTCCTTGAGTAATGGGGTAGATTAGATTAATGGATTCTGTGCTTGTGATCCCATTTGCTGCAGTAGACATTTTCTCTGTTAAATAAGAACTAGACAAGCATTCGCCAAGTTCTCAATCCTAATCATGGAACATATATTTGCCCCTTCCTTTTACTTCCTAGAAAGCTTAGCACTGATTGTGTGCACACCCAGGTGCCAGCTGCAACCATAGTGGGAGTCCTCAGGAGTCTTCTAGAAAGACAACTTTCTGGGATATGATTGCAAACTGTGTTCCTTATGAAACAAATCAAAATCCCTAGGCTTAAGATATGCTACATCATAGAAGAGATAGCATACAGTACTTAGCTCCACATCACAGTCAGCTTATAGGAGGCTTACTGTCTAGAGATACTGAGTGAGACATCTTCAGTGACAGAGCATGAGAAGATGAGGAAAGCTGTTGAAGTAGAATGGTAGTGAAGAGTGAAAGGAAAATTCAGGAGATCCTTGAGACTGCTACATGTGTTCTGGATGCCACAAACTCAGGGTTCAGCATTATTTTACAAGTACTGTAGAAAAGCTCAGGGATCCAAACAGCCTCTTCCCCGCTCACCTCTGATTCAGGATGTTCCTCCCCTGGCTGCCCTGTGTAAATTCATCTTTCCTTAGAAGGCAGCCTCAGCGGATGTTGCTGCATCGCTCCTCTTGCCAGCCCTGGAAATTCTAAACTGGGCATGCCTTTCATACCCTTGAGCGGGCTTTTCTTTTTAATCTCCATTTACTTTTCTTCTCAATTCACATTGTTGGAGATTTACAATTGTTGTCAGTCTTTGCAAAGAACAAGGTACTTGGTTTGGTTGGTTGCTTCTTTTTCTAAATGTTTACTTCAGTCAGCCTATTGATACTTAAAGTTTTCTGGCTAAGATCAACAATGATCTCCATCAAGGATCTGTTGCCAGTCCAGTGACTCTGTTTCTTTATTTTACTTGACATCTCCAAAACATTTAATACAACTGCCTGTTTTCTGATTTTTGGTTAACTTTTTAAAACACTATGAACATACTATAAAATGCAAAAATATGAGGCATATATCCTTATAAATAGTTATTATTAGAAGACGGGAAGACACACATATCTAGACACCACAATGTGTACTGAGATCAAGATAGACACACTGTTGTTCTCTGGTTGTTAAGGTTTACTGTTTTCAGAATGTTTTGGCCAAGTTCAACTAAGACATTTCAGTACTGCACCTGCCTTTGCCTTCATCCTGTGAGGACACTCACATGCAGACCTGGAGGATCAGTCACTGAAAACCAACTTGGAAAAGTTCTTTAACTTCAATAACCTATGATTTACAAACCATAAAATATGTGAGGATTTTTCATTCCTATTAAAAGGATAGGCAATGCATAATTGAAATTGAAATTGTATTAATGGTAAAAGAACTAATAACACATTTGAATGGGGCCTGTCTTGTTTATGGTAATTCTGAGTTATTCTGATCTCTAGCTGAACTCCTCCCATCCAGCCCTACTGTTTGAGTTCCTTTCTCATAACTCTACTTAGTTTCTTAAAACTGTCTCTCCACCATGCCAATATTGTGCTTACTTCTTCCCTTCTCTGCTTTCAAAGTAATGTATGTCCATTCTCCCTCCAACCTTTCCTATCCAGCTATCATTTTCAGAAGCTCTTGGTATCAGCAATACCCAGCACACCTGACCAGTCCTGTACAAAAGGAGAGGGGGCTTATATTTTCCACTCTGGGGTGACCTGACCTTCATACTCTGTCAGCCCAGCACCAATGCCCAAGTCAGTTACCCATAGTCCAAGAGTTTTCTCTGCTTAACTTTCTCTAAATGTGACCTCATAGTCCACATTTCTTTCATGCAAAAGAAGAGGGGTTAATACAGGACACCTTGGGAGGAGCAGAAAGAGCAAACAAAATCAAATATAAACAAACAATGGAGAGTCATAGTGTCTTTTCCAAAAACTTTTCACTGGGGTGACTCTCTATTCCCTCTGGATACTTAATCATCCTGCATTGTCCCTGGATACCCATTTTCCCGTGGCCTCTGCCCAGCAAACAAATATTGCAACTCCTCAAGAGACTGGTTTTTCTTTGTGTTCTGGACCCTGGGGATTTCTACATTGTAGAAGGAAGCAAATGCTTAATGGCTGAGGAGTCTTTGTTTCTTCAGGTCCTCAAAGGATACCTAAAAGTTCGACTAAGAGTATAGAGTGCATCCTGGGAAAACCAAAGACTCATGATTGGTAGGATTTGTGAAAGCCCACTATGTGCCTAGCATCCCAGTAAATGCTTTTTTCAAATATTATCTTAGTCAGTTTTCAGAACCTCCTGAAGTAGCTGCCATCATCACATTGACATCTTTTTTTTTTTTGCAGGTTTGATTCTTAGCCTGTATTCTTTTTTATTATTATTATTATTCCATTTATTTATTTTATTACATTTTAGGTTTTGGGGTACATGTGAAGAACATGCAAGATTGTTGCATAGGTACACATGTGGCAGTGTGATTTTCTGCCTTCCTCCCCTTCACCTACATCTGGCATCTCTCCCCTTGCTATCTCTCCCCAACTCCCCACCCCCCACCATCCCTTCCCTATTTCCCCCCACAGACGCCAGTGTGTAGTGCTCCCCTCCCTGTGTCCATGTGTTCTCATTGTTCAACACCCGCCTATGAGTGAGAACATGCGGTGTTTGATCTTCTGCTCTTCTGTCAGTTTGTTGAGAATGATGGTTTCCAGGTTCATCCATGTCCCTACAAAGGACACAAACTCATCATTTTTGATGGCTGCATAATATTCCATGGTGTATATGTGCCACGTTTTCCCTGTCCAGTCTATCATCAATGGGACCTAACACCATAAAATCCCCAGAATAAAATCTAGGCAAAACCATTCAGGACATAGGCATAGGCAAGGACTTCATGACCAAAACACCAAAAGCATTGACAACAAAAGCCAAAATAGTCAAATGGGACCTAATTAAACTCCACAGCTTCTGCACGGCAAAAGAAACAGTCATTAGAGTGAATCGGCAACCAACAGGTTGGGAAAAAATTTTTGCAGTTTACCCATCTGACAAAGGGCTGATATCCAGAATTTACAAATAACTAAAACAGTTTTACAATTAAAAAAAAAAAGCACATTGACATCTTATAGATGAAGCTAAGGTTCATAAGGGTCACAAAACTAGTATGACAGAGAGTCAAGATCTAAATTCTAAAAACCATAATTCATTTCACTTTATTGTAGAACTATTCACCCTGATAGTGTACTTAATATCTCAAAGCCGAGCTCACATTTCCTCAGTTCTGCCTGGGAACTCAGGCCAGGCTTCGCTGGTTAAATGTTTCCCATGATGTTATAATGTCCTGTTGAACAGAGAAGGGAAATGAGATGTAGGACAGAGCAAGGAAGATGAGTTTTCAACTGGATATAGGACATGCACCTGAGCACAAAAGTATGCGAACAGGGCTATTCTCAGCTTGGGAGTATTGCAGGATCCAAATAAAATGACTTCTAATGCTGTGCTACTTTTCATCCTTCTTACACATTTCTATTCATTGTTCAAGGATCAGCTTTTAAGTCACCTCCTTTGGACTTGTGTTCTGCTCCAAATAGAGTATAAACATGTTCTCCAAACAGAGATTAAACCAGAGTTGGTAGAGTCAGAGGACTTGAAAGGGATTGAAAAATACAAGAGACTAGAAGGGTGTTGAGGCCATGTTTTAAAGGTCATGACTTCTGCCTGGGCATCTTCTATGGGAAGGAATAACATTGGGAGAAAAGAGTCAACAGGCACAAGCTATAATGTTTCTTGTATTATTTTAATGCAAAAATGCATAACTATTTGGAAATATGAAAGACTAAGAAACACTGTTGTATGCTCTCAGTTCCCCAGATCCTAAGTGTACACATAGTAGTTCATGAAAAGAATAGTGACTGGTCTTTTTGTTGTCTTTTATTTTGAGGGATGATGAGGGGGAAGCCAGAATAAGATTTGTGCCTTGTCAGGCTAACCTAACAATTGCTAAAGATTAGGTGGACTTAAGTTCAACCAAATCTGCATTCTCTACCAAAACTTATCTCTGATTCAGATCAAGTTGATTGAATCCACTGAAGCTTTCAGAAAATCAGAAGCATTTCATTCACACTCCTCCTAGTAATTGAAAAGCTATGCAAAGATATCCTTTACACCTTATCTTAGGATTCCAAGGTAAACCAGTCCAGCTCCACAGATCCCTGAGACATCTTTCTTTGAAGTTGGCTTCAGATCTGAAAAGATATTGTATTCATTAACTCAGGTTGGAGTGATCAAAGAGGAAGTGCATCAGATAACTCCATATTCTCTCCTGCAATTGTTTGGTCCTCATGCCATAGATGATGGGATTTAAGGTGGCTGGGATAATCAGGTACAGGTCAGCTAGCAGCACTTGGGTGTGCAAGGGCACTACATCCTGCCCCAGCCAGGCCGCATAGATGGATGCCATTCCAGGTAGATAGTACAAAGCCATAACCCCCAAGTGGGAGCCACATGTGCTTAATGCTTTCAACTGAGCATTCTTTGAGGAGAGCCCAAATACTGCCCTGAGAATCAAGACATAGGAAGCAGCAATGAAGGCCACATCAGAGCCCACCATAATAGAGGAACCAATTAGACTGTAGAGACTGCTGGGTATGGGGTCTGCACATGCTAACCTGGCCAAAGCTAAGTGCTCACAGTAGGAGTGAAGAACCACATTGGAGCCACAGAAAGGTAGATGACTCATCATCCAACTCAGTGGAATCATGAATGTGACAGCTCTGATGGCGATGGTCAAACTCATTCTCAGCATCACTTGAGGTGTGAGAATTCTCTTGTAATGTAGGGGCTTGCAGATGGCTACATAGCGGTCAAAAGCCATGGCCAGCAGCAGGCCTGTCTCCACAGCTGTGGCTAAGTGAACAAAAAACATCTGAGTGAAACAAGCATTAAAGCTGATGGAGCTGTCTCCTGAGCAGAAGATGTT